AGAGAGAGAGAGAGAGAGAGAGAGAGAGAGAGAGAGAGAGAGATCAGTCAGGGGCCTGGCCCTGCTGGGAATTCTCTCCTACTCCTGGCATCCTTACATTCCATTTTCCATTTTTATGTTTAATTTTTTGGATTTATTTATTTTTATTTTATGTGTGTGAGTGTTATGCCTGAATGTAAGTGCACCTGTGTTGTGTAGTGCTGCAGAGGACAGAAGAGGGTGTCAGATTCCCTGGAATGGAGTTATGGATGGTTGTTAGCCTCCATGTGGGTGCTGGGACTCGAACCCGGGTCTTCTGCAAGAACAGCCAGTGCTCTTAACTGCTGAGCCCACTCTCAAGACCCACATTCCATTTTCTAAATAGTATACAAAGGAGCTAATATGCACTGACAGGGATTTAGTGACACTGCTCATTCTTCTGCCTCTGGGCTTCCATACTGGTGGATATCTTCTTTTCTGATCTGACTGACTTATCCTAGTTTTTTCTTCCCCAAGTTGGCTACACTTAACAGCTAGTAGACTAAAGGTGGGCTAATGAAACAGGTACTTGGTTTCTCCTCATAACACTGGGCCAGGCTCCCCATCTCAGTAGCTTTTTCCTCCCAGATGGGGCTCTCAGGCACTTTCTTGTGAAAGTAAGGTCTGCTGGCTAGCTCCTTCTTCTCACTCAGCCAGGGTTATATGGTACAGGGTGCTGAGCAGAGTTAGCATGGTGGGAGACAGAAGTCTGGTGAGTGGTGGAAGTCTTCAAGTGAACACATTCGGACCTGAGGGCTGCGGCTCAGTACAGTATGTGCTTACTGTACACGAGGCCTTGAATTCAATCTTCAGTGGGAATCCCCCTTCCCCAAATGGCGAACAAATCGACAACTGTTGAAAGCATTCATTAGGATGACTTGTACTTTTTCTTGAAGGTTTTATAGTTTCCATTTTCTTTAGGACTTTCAAAAACAGTTTCAAAAACTTTAGGAATGTTAATGTATACACATGGGCAAAAGTTTATTTGTAAAATGTGAAATATCATAGTAACATAAACAGACACAAATATTTTTCAGAATCATCTGCTTGATTAAATATTAGAGGCATATTCCTTCCTTTTGCCAAATCAACACTTCTCATTTATTATTACTACATGAGGAGGAGATATATAATTAATTGAAGAAGTAAATCATTCATTAAGGGTTTAAGCTCTTGTGCTTTACTTCCTATGATGAAATTATGCATTAAGGCAAATGAATATTTCTTTCTTCACTATTGCTATTTGCATAATGAGGCATGGGGCTAGCATATATTTTACCACTATTGAAAGAGTGGAAATTTGTCACCCAAATTCAATGAATCTTATTAGTGAGTGGGACAAAATCTCCTTTCTTTTGATTGTATTCTAGCATGCATTTGATTTTTGTTGGGTGTTATGTAAACCAAGCAAATATATGCTAGAATACTTTCATGATATTTTTCCCTTTCAAAGCAAACAAAAGAGGTGGAAAATAGAAATATTTATAAAAATAAGCCAATTAACAAAATATATTGTTGTCCAATGAACCAAATTTTATATTGTTGTCCAATGAACCAAATTTTAGCATAATTTTCAAGCAGTATTTTATCCAAATCAGAACCTGCTGCTTCTTAAAATAAAATGAATAAAATAAAATAAAATAAAACAAAGCTGGCTCAGACATGAGGAGGGTAATACAAATTATATTTCAGGGGACTAGGATAAATGATTTATGGTTTATAATTATGCACTTATTCAATAATTCTCAATAGTTGCATAATCTAAGTTACTAAGTATGCAAAATATAACAAATTGGACTAAAATAAGTTATCCTAACTAAACGAGCTACAGATGGTACTATTTAAGTTGTTATGTCTTATTTCCCTTTTTGATAGATTCCACAATTAAGGCCCCTGAAATCCTTTTGTGGAGCTCAACTCATTCTTCTATTTTACCAATCTAGCAAATATGTTCATCCTGCCAGATAACCTTTTAAGAAAAGTATTATCATGCATAAAAGTACACAAATTGTAAGCATACAGTCCATACAGAACTCATTCAAAGTGAACAGCATCCAAATCTAGAGCATTCTCACAACTGCAGAAGTCATCCTGTGCTCTTTTCTACTCACGTTTCCTCACTCTTCCACAAAAGGTGAAAAACACCCCTACAGTAACTTCTAATGTCACAGCTAATTTTTGCCTTTTTAAAAAAGAGTAAGGGCTGGGCATAGTGTCTCATGCCTTTGATTGCAGTAGCATTTGGGAGAAGGCAAAGGCAGGCAGATCTCTGTGAGTTACAGGCCAGCTGAGGCTATAAGGAGTCACCGTCTCAAAAAGGCCAAAAACCAAAAACCAAAAAAATATGAATAATTAAAAAAAAAAAAGAACAAAAATGATGTACTTCTTTTACTCATCTTTAGGTTCTATGAAAATTTCTAACATTACTACATGTTGTTATAATTTCTTTATCTTCATTTTGGAACTCTTAGTCAAGTACACCACAGTATATTTATCCATTCCAGTGCTGATAGATATTCAAATTGTTTAGTTTATAATTTTTGAGATTTTGATGTATTCTAGGGCTGGAGAGATGGCTAAGTGGTTACAAGCACTGGCTATTCTTGCAGATGAGACCTGGGTTCAGTTCTCAGCACCTACACGGCAGCTAACAACATCAGTAACTCCAAGTTCAGGGAAATCAACACCCTCTTCTGGTCTATGAGGGTATTGCACACATGGGTGCACTTACATACATGTATGCAGACCACTAAAACATGTAAAATAAATTAAGTAAAAAAACTGATGTATTTTGAACTTTTATTAATTCAGGCAGTTTCACTGGGTGTGTGTGTGTGTGGGGGGGAAATCCAGTGGTAATCAATAGATTTATAATCTAAGAATAGCAGATTTGGCCCACCATCAAAAGAATGGCAAACAAATTTTCACATATATATTAGATATGAAAATGTGGTAGGCATATATTTAAAAACGGTTACCTAATTTTCTGCTTTTCTAAAAATGGTGGTCTAGATCATGTCAGATAAGAGGTCTTCCTGTAATAGGAAAAGAAAAAAGTATTTTGGAAATTGAGGCCATAATATTTTCAAATTTATTTGCCAATAAATTTGTTTATAATAACATTACCTGAAAATTATTACAATAGAAGTATACTTTTCACAAAATTGGCAGAGAAAGAGAAGAACTTTAGGTAGGGACTAGGGA